AATGGGCTTAATGAGCTAGGGTTTTGCTTATTGGAGTATAAAGAGACAAGATGGTGAGATGAAGCCGTCACGCGTTTAGAGTTTATTGAAGATGCACATGGATGTGTGTGACGTCGTCCTACCAGACAGATGGACAGATCTGTTGGTAGTGTATTTTCATTGTGATTCTAGATTAGAGTGGTAGGCACGGGTGTGTGCTAGATACCATATAGCAGTGGTTTGCTGCGGCCTTTTCTAGTGAATAAGTTCTGGACGTGGTCCCGGGGATGTAGGAAACGAACCTCGTTAACAAATCTCTGTGTCTTTTTTCTTTATGCTCTTACATACTTGCATGCGAACACATCACACTCGAAGATATAGATTTAGCCACATGCCATGCTTTTACAATTGGTATCAGAGCGGGTGCTCGTAGAGATTCATCTTATTTCGGGTAGATCCTGGATATGGTATGTGTGGCTAGCTGAAAAGTTGAGAGGATGAGAATAGTCATGTATGTGATTGTATTGAGATAACCAACATGAAGATATGAGAGGAGCGTTGGATTTTCTGGTTTTCAAGATGGACTGCAAATCGTGTGAAAGGAATGATGCACTCTGGTGTGTGTAACTTATGCTTAAAACGCCAAGATCTGGTGAATTTTGATTCTGAGCCAACAAGTATCATGAAGTTTTTCACAGAGTTTTCCATTCAAGCAAGGGGAGATGGTACTAGATTCAGGGGGAGTTCAAGATGAAGATTAGTGAGCTTGAGTTGTAAAATTCAGTGAAAAAGGGGGAGAATGTAAGCTCAAGAATTTGGAGTCTGTGAGTCTTGGTTCGCGTACTTGTGTAACACACAGATAATGGTGTGTGACACACACCATTGTGTAACACACAGATAATGGTGTGTGACACACGCTTCGGAGAATAAAAAGGTAAACATCAAGATGCGATAAAGTAGAATATTCCCATATATTTGGCTGACGAAATATGTGTTAAAAAAGGATTAATGGGCTTAATGAGCTAGGGTTTTGCTTATTGGAGTATAAAGAGACAAGATGGTGAGATGAAGCCGTCACGCGTTTAGAGTTTATTGAAGATGCACATGGATGTGTGTGACGTCGTCCTACCAGACAGATGGACAGATCTGTTGGTAGTTTATTTTCATTGTAATTCTAGATTATAGTGGTAGGCACGGGTGTGTGCTAGATACCATATAGCAGTGGTTTGCTGCGGCCTTTTCTAGTGAATAAGTTCTGCACGTGGTCCCGGGGATGTAGGAAACGAACCTCATTAACAAATCTCTGTGTCTTTTTTCTTTATGCTCTTACATACTTGCATGCGAACACATCATACTCGAAGATATAGATTTAGCCACATGCCATGCTTTTACATACAATACTATATAAATGGAAGCAGATATTACTGGAACACCATGATGGATAGGTAAAGATGATTGAACACTATGAGTATTATAAAATTTAGGCACGTATGAACATATACAATTATAACCACTACATTTAAGTTCTCTATAAATTCTGAAGATATGAAGCATGGAACATTACTCATGATTATGAAGTTCCAAAGCCAACTTTTTGGGTATCTTTCCCATTCACCGAACAATGTGAGTCATTTCCTTATTTTTTCGATAACATCTACAAAATATGGATATAATATATTAGTATTAGATGGAATTAATCATTTTTATAATTACAAACTAGGTGACCGACCCGCCCCCTGTGCGGGTATAAAAATATAGTATAATATTGAGACAGGAGTATCTATTGAGTTCAAATGTGGGAATTAGTAGAACAAGTGAGAGTTTCAATGCTGAGAAAAATTTTGCGCAAATCTCTAGGATGTAGTAGGGGTGGGAAATCGTTACTTTTTCGGTTTGGTTTGTTTAGTTCGGTTTTAATATATTTTTTCAACTGAAATAAACCTTATTTAGTCTGGTTCGGTGTTGTTTATGTCTAGTTCAATTTATATCCAGTTCGGTTTGTTTTTGGATCGGTTTAATTAGGATCTTTGTCGCTTAATTTTTTAAAGAAAAATTATGTTTTAAAACATATACGCATAAAGTATGTGAACTAAATTCAATATTAAACTGAAAAAAAAAATAAAAAAGTCACAAAAAGTATATAAGAATAAAACAAATGAAAGTTAACTAAAGTAAAAAAAAATTAACATCATTAGTATGTTTTTAATAAAAGTTAACTATTAAAAAACAAATGTAAGAAAAATATACAGGAGACAGTGACATTAAAAAATGTGAGAAAAATCTCATAGATATCACGATCCCAAAGAAAATGTGATAAAAATATAAATATAATTCATAAGTAATATAAAATAAGTAGAACAATTATGAATTAAAATAATCCCATAGAAACCTGCAAAAAATTGTCAATTTTTTTTAGCAATTGTACAATATAAAATAATTTAATAGATTTCTAAATTTTATCGAGTCGAAAATAATATTAAATTTGCATATCGCTATTGAAATAGACTGAAAAATGGTTTGTAGTCAACTACAAACGGTATTTCATCTGTGTTATTTATCCGTTAATAGAAAGAACAAACAAATGTATATATATAGTAAATTACATTTTTAAGATCCATATATTTATATATATATATATATATATATATATATAATAAAGATAATAGTTTTGGCTTTTCTAAATCTCAAATCACCATTATATTTGTGGTTTTCTAAATGGATAATACTTTTGGGCTTTTCTAACTCAAATCACCATTATCATATAAATTTGTGCAAGTAATTGATAGCAAAATAAGGTAATCATCATATCTTCTAATTAACTAATTAAAAAATAAAGAACATACACATTTAATGCAATATCACATGTATATATTTACCAATAAACTACATCATAAAAGAACAAGAAATTTACTTAATAGACATATATTTTCACGAAAATTTAATTTTTAAATTTGTCAATTAAATGTATATTTAAAAAAAATACTTCCTAAAAAGATTATTTTGTTTAGAATTATGTATAATAAAAAAATCAGAATATATCAAATTTAAATAATAATTACGAATTAATAATCATATTTTATCATTAAGTCTTATGGTTCCTGAAATATTTGTTATAAAAATTCTTGTAAAGAAATTTCTTGAGATATATAAAGTCTTATGGTTCTTGTAATATTTGTTTCCTTTTAATAAACATGAAGCAATCAAAGAAAGATATTAAAAATTGACTGTCATAAATTTGCAATAATTAACATATCATTTAAGACAAGTAACTGATGGCACAATAAGGTAATCATCATATCAACTTGCGCAAGTAATTGATAATAAAATAAGGCAAGTTTAATAAACGAATTAACTAATTAAAAGCCTACCAACAAGGTATATCTTTCCTAATACTATAATATGGTTATAAAATTAAAGAATAATAAATAGTTTTGATTTTGATATATTTTAAATCTATAGAAATATATAATAATTATGTTTTATCACTTATGTTTAATATAGAAATTTGTATATAACCGATTTAATTCTAACATTAGTATTAGAAATATATAAAAAAAATGTTACACATCTCATATTCTAACTCTAAATTATATACATAATTTATTATGTGATAAATTGTATAAAGTTATATTATAATTGACATAGAACTATATAGTTTATGATGACAAAAAAAAAAGATGACAAAAAGAACTATATAGTTTACATATATGAATTTATAGGATATACATTTTATAATATGATTAATTGTATAAAATCATATTTGAGTACAAAGTTGATAAAATGTATAAAAAGTTATACTAACTTTCATAATAAAATATTGATTAAAGATTTTTTTTCTTTAGTGTATAAGCAAATAATTATTTGAAAAAACATAGAGAAAGNTAGGATATACATTTTATAATATGATTAATTGTATAAAATCATATTTGAGTACAAAGTTGATAAAATGTATAAAAAGTTATACTAACTTTCATAATAAAATATTGATTAAAGATTTTTTTTCTTTAGTGTATAAGCAAATAATTATTTGAAAAAACATAGAGAAAGTAACAAAGCATGAAACTTACATTGTAGTTTACGTGTTTTGGATGATATGATCATTTGTAATGTTCATGTCTCTGAATAACATGAATGTGAAGAGAGATTTAAGTATATATGGATTCACAAGAGGAAACGTCATAATCGTTGGTCTGCGCATATAAATTAAAATTCTAAATTAAAAAAATAGAAAAATACATATGAAAGCATTTTTCTCCTTCTAAGATCTAACAAACAATCATTAAATAGAAAGACAATACCTATGAACATATTTAAAGAAGTAAGAATTAGAATTCAAATAGATCTACGATTAATCAAATCATATAGAAAGATAAAAAATTTACATGCATCGTAGTGAAATCGTTATAATAGGGCATCTGCATTAAACCAAAAGAAAAGTCAGCTCTAATGAAATATGTATATATAAAAGCTTAATGATGTAAACTAACAAAAACAGTATCAACATAAAAAGTTCAGAATAAAAAGTTTAGGAAAATTAATTATTGTAAGACTTGCGCAAGTAATATCTAATGGATTTGCTAAGACTTCTTATAAGGAAAATTATTCATTCGTCATCTAATGGATTTGCTAAGACTTCTTATAAATAGTGTACAGTTTTAGAAGTAACATGTTTTATATTATCCTTTGTAATTAGAATTGTATTGTATATATGTTGTAATTTTTATTTTTAGGTGAATAATAGTATTATGTTTAATTCTGTGAACGATATAAAATAATTTCTGAATTTTAATTCTGTGAACGATATAACATTCTGTGAACGATATAAAATAATTTCTGAATTTTATTGTATCTGTAAATAATGGCTTTATCAGATTCAGACCACATGCCAACAAAGAAGTATGGTGCATGGCAAGCCCCTTGTCCCTTTTACATATTTTTTAGAAATTATATGTAAATTCTTTGTTTTAGAAACAAAAAGGTTATAATACACCTATTTGTAAAAAAATCTAATCTAATGAATTCAGCAATTTAGTTTATGGATGACCCAGCATTGTCATTACTTACGACAACAACAAAAACTTCAAAATATTTCTTCTTTAAACAGAGGCATCAATCATTGACAAAACGACCAAACCAAATATTAAACTAAAAAAAGGAAGCAATATTTTTTTTCCTTTTTAAACACCAAAAAAATATATTTTGTTTAGGTGTAATAAATAAATATATGAAAATTCAACTTTTACTTTTCCTGGATTTTCTTCTGGTTAAGGTCCTCACCATCCAACCCTGTTTCCTCACTTTGGTTCCTTCGACCTTGGATGATGCCACATGACGAGAAGAGGTGGACCATCCTGATCTGAGTTTGATGACATGGAAAAGATGACCAATACGTTTGCGCCACCTGAGAGATGACTTGACACTATGATGCTCTACGATACTCGTACTGCTCGTTATAAGGGACTGCTTTTCCTTATTACATGTTGAGTTTGTGTTGTCTACACAAAGCTCTGACACTGTTTTCCTCTCCCACGACGCGTTTCCATCATTTTCGAATTTTATTGATATAAAAGAATCTGAACATATATACACAAAGAAAAACAAATAAATTTCAATTATTCATTGATTTGTACAGCAATTAAGACTAAATATATCTTTACATAAATTTCAAGAACTATAATTAGCAGTAGCCATCAAATCATCATCATACCGTGTAAACGAAAAAAGGGAATTATCTTAATTGGAACAAAATACATTAATGTATATATGAAGTATATACATAAATTGTGCGTATGAGATATGCATATATACTATAGCTATATGTACCTTCTTGGCTTGTGGAGACGTCAAGATCGGAGGATGGATGGAATTTCCTGCGGTGACGGAGATCGAGGCGACTGAAGAGAGAGCTCAAGGTGAAGATCTTAGGGAGGCTAATGATTGGTGAAGATGAAGAGTATTTGGTTCTTGACGATCTCTGCTTTGAAGCTAAAAGCAGAAGCCTCTCGTTCAAACAGAGTGGGCACACTCCAACATATTCTTTCTTTGGATGGAAATAACAGTATGCACAGATTTCACCATTCTTTCGTAGAGATCGAACTATGGAGGTACGTACTTAATCAGGGGAAAAAGGTAATAATAAGACACAGATTTCACCATTCTTTACCATCGAATCCTGAGCTCGTCCCTGAGAAATCTTTCTGGTAGCCATAGCTGTTTTATAACTTGCGTTCGGTCTACATACATTAGTACATCGTATATATATTGTCAAGCTTTCCTAATGGTATGAGATTGACATATTTGGCATTGAATTTCCAACTTCTCACGCAAGTTATCGAATATAAGGTAAGGAAAGTAAATAACCTATACATTAAATTTTAGATATACGATTCTCATATATAAATCGTAACACTTGCACGCCAAACAAAAAATAAATAAAAATAGAAAATTAAAATATATATTGAATTACTTTCCTAATGGTATGAGATTGACATCTTTGGCATTTAATTTCCAACTTGTTTCACAAGTTATCGAATATAATGTAAGGCAAGTAATTAACGTAACCAAATATTTGAGATACGATTTATCGAATATAATATAAGGCAAGTAATTAACGTAACCAAATATTTGAGACACGATTCTCATACCATTTGCACGGCGAAAAAAAAATATAAAACGAAAATTGAAATAAATCAACCAATCAGATTCTCAGAATTTCTCTGAGAAGGCCTGTATGAGTGACACGTGTCCAAGTGACTTCTCTTTTAATGTATAGGGGGATATTAGAATACTCACCAAACAAGCAGTCTGGATCTTGACTACCATCATAATAGCTTTAAAAGTAACTGGATTTAAGCCCGTCAATTGTAGTGGCAAATCCTCACAGACTCGGACTCGAATTGTTGAGATAAACACATCTCGATAGGGATGACTGATTGTGCGATAAGATTCACCTGAGTGTGTTACGGAGAAATTGACCATCAGTTTTGAAACACCTTGACTGAGAAAAGGATCAAACTGAGACAGTTGATCTTTCTTCACAGTTGCATGGATCTTGTCTCCCTAAATAAGAAATATAAATAATTTATTAGGAGGCATACTATCAAGGTGTTGAGATCTACTCAAGATTAAATATGATAGGGAGCTTACCTTAGAAGCAACCAACACCATCTATGTTGTCTCTCTCACGTCACCGAAATATTGTTTCCACATACGAACAATTTTCACCCTTACCTTCCACATAGATTTAGAAGGCCACAAAATCAGAGACAAAATCAAGAGCAGCCGTTTGAAACTAATATGCAAAACGTTTAAAACTAAATGATTTCTTCGACTGAGATCAGAGTTGTATATATATAGTAAACCAACAGTGTCTCCTTAATTATTTGGAGTGGAAAAAGATGTATTATCTAATTAGTGCTCAATCAGCTTATACAATATTTGGCTAACTTGTACCAAATTAGATCTATAACCCACTAAATTTGCTTCAATCTTGCACTATTTACATAATATTTAAAGATTGAAGTGTTATGCAAATGTTGTGTGATTGAGTATCCACATACATATAAAAAACAAAGGATAAAAGGATAAAAGGAAACTAATAACAAAATATTCTAGGTATTTATTAATAGAAATAAAATCAATCATAATGACATGATTAATAATCGTATAGTAATTATAGAAAACAAAAATATTACAAACTTATAGAATATACACTTAATTATATTCTTCACGTTAACCTAAATTCATATTCCGTTTATCAATCTTTTTGAACTACATACTATAATAAAAAAACATTAGAATATAACTAGTTACTGTTGACAATAAGCTTAAAGATAATGACAAAGATAGCTTGGAGATAAAGTTAAAAAGATCCTAAGAGATTTAGGATTAAGAATAGAGTTTATCCTAATGAGATTAGGAAACAAAGTCTCTATATATATAGAGATGCGTGTGATGTTTTTGAGTTAGAGGTTTATGAGTTTGTGTGATTGAGAGCTTAAGTTTTGAGCTATTTTCTTAAGCATTAATAAAGTGAGTCCTTTATTGAGTTACATACAATCTTATTGAGTTCTTACGTTCTAGTTAAATCAAGATTTGGTATCAAAGCAAGCAAACGACATGGGAGACATTACCACAGTTGCTTCAGGTGCTTAAGAACTCAATAATACAGTATCTATAAGCTGTCCGATGTTAACTACTACCAATTATACGGCATGGGCTATTCGGATGAAGCTGCTGTTTGAAAGTACACAAAATATGGGATATAGTTGAAGAAGGAACAGAGGAATCTGAGAAGAATGATATGGCTGTTGCTTTGATGTTTACATGTATACCTGAAACCCTAGTTTTACAACTTGGAGATCTAAACAATGGAAAGAAGGTATGTGAAGCTATCAAAGTAAGAAACATGGGGGCTGATAGAGTTAGAGAAGCTAGGCTACAAACGTTGAAATCAGAATCCGATCGGCTGAGAATGAAAGAGAAAGATACAGTAGATGACTTCGCAGGCAAGTTATCAGAGATTGCTTCGAAATCTGGTGCTTTAGGAGAAGTTATTGAAGAATCAAAGATGGTGAAAAAGTTTCTGACTGCTTTACCAGGAAAGAAGTTTGTACACATGGTTGCATCACTGGAACAGCTCTTGGATCTTAATACAATAGGCTTCGAAGATATAGTTGGTAGATTGAAAGCCTATGAAGAACGTGTTAATGCAGAAGAAGAAGACACACAAGACAAACAAAGTGATCAAACAAAACTTATGTACGCAAACACTGAAGCATCAAAAGGTCAATCCACGCAGGATTATCAAGGAGACTACAGAAATAGAGGTCGAGGAGGACGATTTTATGGCAGAGGAAGAGGAAGAGGACGATCTTACAGAGACTACAACAGTGTTGATCTGTCTAAAATTACTTGTTTCAGATGTGACAAGAATGGTCACTTTGCTTTCAATTGTCCAGACAGACTCCTTAAGTTGCAAGAAGCGTATGAGACTAAAGAAGATAAGGAAGATACACAAGAAGCTGATAAGTTACTAATGCATGAGGTGGTATACTTAAACGAAAAAAAAATAAAACCTCAAGAGTTTGATTCAAGCTTGGACAGTAACAGGACATGGTACCTTGATAATGGAGCTAGTAACCATATGACAGGTTACCGACACTACTTCTCCAAGATTGATGAGACTATAACAGGAAAAGTTCGTTTTGGTGATGACTCAAGAATAGATATTAAAGGGAAATGATCTATCCTATTTGTCAGTGAAAACGGAAGTAAACGAACTCTTACTGATGTGTATTACATTCCAGAGCTTAAGAGTAACATAATAAGTCTGGGACAGGCAACTGAAGCAGGGTGTGAAATGAGAATGAAAGGAGATTGCCTCACCTTACACAATAAAGATGGAAATCTTATTACTAAAGCAAATAGAGCTAGAAACCGACTCTACAAAGTACTAATGGAGATTGCAGATGATAAATGCTTACAGATAAAAGAAGAAAGTGAGTACACAAGATGGCATGCACGACTTGGACACATTGGAGTGGACACTATGAAGACAATGATAAGAAAGGATCTCGTTGAATGAATGCCAAAGATCAATCCAGAGAAAGAAACCTGTGAATCATGTTTACTTGGAAAACAAGCAAGACAAAGTTTTCCTAAAGCAACACAATACCGAGCATCACAGGTACTTGAGCTAATACATGGGGATCTTTGTGGACCCATAACCCCATCCACTGCTGCAAAGAACCGGTACATATTTGTGTTGATCGATGATTACTCACGCTATATGTGGTCGATTCTGTTAAAAATAAAAAGGAGAAGCTTTTGAGAAGTTCAAAAGATTCAAAGCACTTGTTGAACAGGAAACAGGAGAAAAAATCAAGACATTAAGAACTGATAGGGGAGGAGAGTTTACGTCAAATGAGTTCAATATTTTCTGTGAAATATCAGGAATACAAAGACATATGACGGCTCCATACACCCCTCAACAAAATGGGGTAGTGGAGAGGCGAAACAGAACTCTAATGGGGATGACTAAGAGCATACTGAAGCATAGGATGGTACCTAACTATCTATGGGGAGAAGCTGTGAGACATGCCACCTACATCATAAACAGAGTTTTGACAAGAGTTCTTGAAGATCAAACTCCATATGAGGTGTTCAAAGGAAAGAAACCAAAGGTTAGTCACCTACGAGTTTTTGGATGCGTTGGATACACGAAGATAGACAGTCCTAGTGTGAAGAAACTAGATGACAGAACTAGAGCACTAGTACATCTAGGAACGGAACCCGGTTCCAAAGCCTACAGAATGCTTGATCCAGCAACAAGAAGAATAGTAGTGAGTCGAGATGTCATTTTTAATGAAGATAAAAGTTGGAAGTGGGATACTGAGACGGACGAGTATGACCAGAGACCAGGAATGTTTGAGCTTACACTTGGAGAATATGGAAACCAAGGAATGAGGGGAGAAGAATGTGAAGAAAACGAAACAGAGCAAGAAGTAGTAGTTGCAGCTGATCAAGAAAACAGTTTCAACGTACCAACAAATGTTGCAGAGAGCGAACTAGAAGAAACACTTCTAAGGAGATCAACAAGGACCAAGAAATCACCAGCATACCTTGAAGATTATATATATTTTGCAGAGATAGAAGGAGAACACTTACTATTGGTCATAGATGAAGAACCATGGAGTTTTAAAGATGCAGTTGCTGAAAAAGTATGGAGAGATGCCTGCAGAGATGAGATCACTTCTATTGAGAAGAATAAAACCTGGACACTATCGGAACTTCCAAGAGGAGCAAAACCTATAGGACTGAAGTGGGTTTTCAAAGTTAAAAGGAACTCATATGGAAGCATAAACAAGCACAAAGCCAGACTTGTTGCCAAAGGTTATATACAAAGGCACGGGATTGATTTTGAAGAGGTGTTTGCTCCAGTTGCTCGCATTGAAACCGTCAGATTCATCATTGCTCTAGCAGCATCACATGGCTGGGAAATTCATCATCTAGACGTTAAAACCGCTTTCCTCCACGGTGAACTAAAAGAAGATGTCTATGTTGCTCAACCAGAGGGCTTTGAAGTAGGTGGAAGCGAAGGCAATGTGTATAAGCTACACAAAGCTCTGTATGGCCTAAAATAGGCCCCACGTGCCTGGAATGAAAAAACTAAACGGAGTTCTTGACAGTTTGGGTTTCAAGAAGTGC